TAATGAAAGTCAATCTGAACAATTATGGCACAGGGGTGTTCAAAGTCACCAAAGAAAATTTCTTAAAGAAGTTGTTCAAACGGATCATCAGTGACAACTCCGCAGTGAACCTACAGAATTTGGCAGATGAAATGATAGACACGTGCTCTCACGTAGTCCGGGAAAAGACAGAGGGACGTTTAGATTACCATGACACCTACATTCAGGAAATCATAAACATAATTGATGACAAACTGATGTTCAACAAGAATCTAGGATTTTCAGATGAATTTGAACTATCTGTCAAATTGCACATTTGCGGGTTTTCTGCAAAAGCATTTCAACACATGCATGATTGTTTCATTAAGGAGAATGACCCACGCAGATGCCTTGGTCAGTATAAAGAGAAATATCACAATGATTTCAAAGACCTATTCCATGATCACGATCAGCGTCAGAGAAAGGCTGAAGAATTCACTAAACTGTGCCTGATTCCTGCAGTTGAGACATTCATCTACAGCTCCTTGGGTCCAGACATCGTTGACAAAATGATTCAGGGTAAAAATGCATTTCAGTTCAGCACTCGTGGATTTTTTCAGTACACACTCTTAAAGCAGCTGCTCAGAGAAGATGCGTTTGAACAGTATGTGAAGTACATTTCCTCCTACGAACGTTTTGTTAAGGGCTGGATATCAGATCAAATCACCAAACAGTTTTCAAATGGACATGAAGTGTCTGAGTTGGAGGAACGTCACCTTAGAGGGATCACCATGGAGATACTAGAAGCTGTGAAAATGGCACAGAATGAAATGTATGAAGATGGTATCAAAGGATTCATACACTGCATATGCAGGAAGCTTGGACGAAAGCTAATAATTCCCAAAGATGCTCTAGAAATAGTGATGTGGTCAGTATAAAGAGAAATATCACAATGATTTCAAAGACCTATTCCATGATCACGATCAGCGTCAGAGAAAGGCTGAAGAATTCACTAAACTGTGCCTGATTCCTGCAGTTGAGACATTCATCTACAGCTCCTTGGGTCCAGACATCGTTGACAAAATGATTCAGGGTAAAAATGCATTTCAGTTCAGCACTCGTGGATTTTTTCAGTACACACTCTTAAAGCAGCTGCTCAGAGAAGATGCGTTTGAACAGTATGTGAAGTACATTTCCTCCTATGAACGTTTTGTTAAGGGCTGGATATCAGATCAAATCACCAAACAGTTTTAAAATGGACATGAAGTGTCTGAGTTGGAGGAACGTCACCTTAGAGGGATCACCATGGAGATACTAGAAGCTGTGAAAATGGCACAGAATGAAACGTATGAAGATGGTATCAAAGGATTCATACACTGCATATGCAGGAAGCTTGGACGAAAGCTAATAATTCCCAAAGATGCGCTAGAAATAGTGATGGTCCTAAACAATGCTTCTCAAGAACCATTTGCTTGCTGGCTAACTAAATCTGTAGAAGAGATGGAGCAGACACTAAAGGAACAATTGAAGAAAATCAACATCAAGGAGAAACTGTCCAAACTCAAAATGAAACCCCAGGATGAGCTCTTCAAACGTGTGTTTGGACGTGGAAAACAGTGTCCATTCTGCAGTGCTCCATGTGAGGCTGGTGGAGAAGCCCACACTGACCACTGTGCTTCAGTTCACAGACCTCAGGGACTTGGATCCTTCATGTTTGTATGCGATGAAAAACTAGTGACAGACATCTGCTCAACAGATGTCCACAGTGAACAACAGTTCATGTGTTTTGAGACCAATTATGAGTACCATCCTTACAAAAGATACAGATAAATCTTTCCTGATTGGCACATCCCTGCTGATGCTAGCATACAGGCCTCAGATTACTGGAAATATGTGATGGCCCGTTTCAACACTAAGTTTGCTGAAGAATACAATGCTCGCCCCGCTGATATACCCTTTGCTTGGAAAATAATCAAAAAGGAGCAAGCAGAGAAGAGTTTAAAAGAGTCTTTCAGCATCAAATAATTGTTTTCTTTCTCAATAGTTAATCTAGTGGATTGGGCAGCACTGCCTATAAAACACAAATGTGAAATAAATGTATACGTATAGCATGACCATCACCAACACATACACTGATAATGACCGCAATCCTTTGTGATGTGAAAAATGCTACTGATTGCTTGCAAATGCTTCAGCTGACATTTCTAGGAACCAGTGCTGATTGTGCCTATGATAGAAAATGAAAGACTATTGAACTAGGTTTCAATGTTAGTGGTCTTTTAACTGATTGTTATTGCATTTTTATTGATTGTCATTGAATGGAAAAACATGGTTTTAAAAGTGTATTTTCCTACCATTCTCCTTTGTTTTATGATTATATTCAGCAGATACACTGCAGAAAGTATATATTACATTAACATTTTTTGTGTTTACAGTAAGTAGAATTCTAAACGATCAATATAAAATGATTGCTTAAGCGCTGATATTGACGTCTTGTCATATTTGACTGCATATCGTAACCAACGTAACAAATCTGTGCTTTGGAATAAAGTGGTTGGTAAATGATTAAACGCAAATGTTATGTTTTATAACATAACATCTGCATCAGTGCTGTCAAGGTTGTCATGTAGTTGTCTTTAATACCTACACACTATAAATGAAACTGCTTCAAAAACAGCCTTTTTTAATCACACAGTAGCGTATGTGTCAAAAAACATCAACGTAATCACAGATCTCTCATCGAAACACTTATACAATCACGCTAAAAAATAGCCTAAAAGAAATGATTATTTTAGAAATATATTTACTGCTTCCTCATGCTGCATTTCAGTGTAAACAAACATAGCCATGCACATAATTAATAATCACTCACCAGTCTTATTGATGATAAAACAATAGTTATAAAAATTTATCTAACAGTTAGTTCTGGTTCTCACATTTAATTGTCCAAGAGTACTGATAAAACAGTCTCACAGCACTGAGACTTTGACTGTTTGTATCATTCGTGTCTGTATTTGTACCACATAGTATGCTAGCCTGTCTAGACTCTAAAATAAAATTGACACATCAGTAATGTTTCAATAGTCTTTCCCCCCAGTGACAAGTGATATTTAGGCCTCAGTAATACATACTTCTTTACTTACTGCAAACAGAGTTGAATAAATCAATTAAACAGAGTTAGATGTCTGGCAGATTTTTTAAAATTATTCTTTGATTTTTCAACACTAACAGAAAAGATAATAATAAAAATAAGAACAACAACAACGTTCTCTAGCAAACTTTTTTCTAATTTGCTCTGGAGACAAATGAGCGAATCACTAGTGAATATGTTTATCTTCCTATAATAGTGTTTCAACCATTCTGTTAATGACTGTAAGACTACATTTACAGTCATGTCTGTTGGTCAAAGAAGGCATTTCCATCACTGTTGTCATTGGGAAATACACTTCAGGTTTAGCAATTTATTGCAGTTAATTTCTTCTAATTAAATGAGTCATTTAGATGACAATTTGATTAAAAGAAAACAAGAGTCTGTTGTCTGGCTATGAATTTCTTTAATGTTCCCCAGATCAGAGTCACAGCATACAAGTGTGTAATAACTTCTAAATAAAGAGAAATATCATCACCTTATTTATATAATTTTACCTTTCTTTTTTTTTTAAATCCATTATTAACATGTTTATTCTTCATCAAGCTTGGCGTTCTGATTCTGAACATATATAGTAAAACAGGGCAACAGGTGTAAATTTGCTTTAGGACCCAGTAAAATGTGTTTATTTTCTTAGAGGAATAACGTGTGCTTCATTTATTCAGTAATCTTTAAACATATCGAGATCCTCGTGCACTCTTTATGCCATCTTTAATTTGGCATTATTTCACTAGATGCTTAATTCCAGTCAAAAATAATAAAATGTATACTTAAGTGTACAAATGTGACCATCAAACAGTACATTTCCCCTATTTGAGATATTTCATAAAATCGCTACCACCTTTTGGTAAAAATTCAATGCTACAACAAGTTCATGGCAGATGAAAAACTTCTCATAACCACCATGGATTCCAGTGCTTACTTTGCTTAAATAAACTGGACGTTCTAGTCCATCTCCATATCAAAGAATTTTGAAAACAGGCAGGTTTTGTATATAAAACAGACAGCCAATCATACTTGTGCAGAAATATGACTAGCTGTGATGATTCAAGTGACATTGGTATGCTACATAATACACGATCTCTTTAAGCTCAAATATAGGAGCAAGTCATCATCGCCATCCTCTGATCTCAAAACTAAATGAAGCAGCAGAAAGTGAATTTAACGAATGAGATTCATCAATTTCGCTGGTGGCTGAATTAGAACTTGCACCTGTTGTCCTGGTCACAAAGTATTTCAAATGTCATTCGACCAGAAAGAAAAAACAAAACCAAAAGAAAATAAAAACAAACAAAACATTTAAACAAGTCACTGAATATTTACAAATATTTTCAGTTGATTTGTTCTTACACTTAAAAATGTACAGTTCATTTCTATTTCTCCTTCTCTCACTGTACGCTATACTGAAGACCCAATGAATGGCTCGTAATGGATGTAGAGTCTTTATTCTGTATGTACCACGACATCACACTCTAGTGGTTGAGCGTACAAAAACAAACGAGAGAAATAACAAAAGAGTCGGAACTCATCCCTTAAAACGGTATTGATTATTAGAACTGAGGTTGTTTTGTACACAGCTCTAGTCAACTCCTCATAGTTTGTTTAAAATGGAGTTCAGTTATACCTACAACCACACAAAAGTCCACAGATGGTACATATCCACAGGTCCAACCTACACTCTCGGATCTCCAGAAGGTACCTGCAACTGAAGTTTGTTACAATCTCCCTTCGTTTATTGTCCAGTTGTTGTTGTTTTCAGTCCACACCGCAGAAGAAAGTTCTGTTTTCATGACTGAAACTCCAGCATGTTTGCTTAGCAATGCTATTAGAGTCTGTTCATGTTTAGTACATTGTGCAGCATACTGGCGTTAGTTCTTGCTCCATCATGATGGTCCTGGGCATCTCAGACTCAATACACTGGCAAACGGAGCCAACAGTGAGACAAACCGTCATCCTCCCGTGACACACAGCAGTGGCAGAAAAATATGACTAACAAGGCATGAAGAGAACGTAAGTGATCATGTTTATCCCGCAGTTTATTACTGTCCAGTGATTCTGAGCCATTCGTTCTTTAACCTGAACATGTATTCTGAAGAAACAATCTGTAAGATTTGTCTATATATAGATCTGGTTTGCCACCACCACTATTTGCTGTGCTTGTCATAATCTTGTCAAAAAGGTCAAGTGTGCAGTGCAGACAGATGTGAGATATGTAGAGATGTGGGTAAACATATTAGCAGTGCTTCCAGCCTATTCCTAACTATTTTGTATGTAAAATGGCCAGGTAGGTTTTCCTGAATGGTAGAGGGCCACAGATGAAGGAGATTTCTGTGTTATGAGGATTGAACAAACTCAGAAGTCTGCATTTCTCTCTCTCGTTGTGCCTCTCCGTCTCATAATCTCTTATCTCACACATTCACATTAACACAAATGTACAGGACACCTAGCTATTGCCTAGAAAACACACTCTTTATGTGTGCACACGCACAAATACACAAAAAAGATGCTTATTAAATTTTGATTTTGAACTGAAAGAGTAAGGACAGAGATAGAACGAGAGAGGCCACAGAGAGAGAAAGATGGGCCGAGGTGTAAGAGAATCATTTGTATCTGAGAAATATAACGGTCAGAGGCCCATAAAAGAGATGCAAAGCTACATGTGCATTCACTATTTGCTGTATTTATGCAACTGTCCGGACCATCACAGATGGCTCTGGCAGAGCCCTACATGGTTGATGGTCAAATAATAGCACCAACAACTGCAAATGAATGTCAAAAAGCATTTAAAAGAATATTGCCAATAGCTCTCTTTCTGGATACAGAGAGAGGATACTGTCCTATAGAGTGGTCAGACTGAGGAAGAGGTTATATTTGGACTAATACTGATGAAAATTCTACTGCAGAGAAGGTTTCTGTAGGCATTTTAAGCAAGCAAACTTAAAAAAAAAAATGCAAATGTCCATCTTGGTGCTTTAAAATATTTCATGCATAGATCCCAACGAGCAATCCAAAAAGAGTGGAGGTTGGCACTTTTGTTTTCGTCTTCTGTCAGATGCTGTCACTTTCTCTCATTCTCTGCGTCTCGTTACAAGGTATGATTTAATACTTGACACAAGACTGCAGCTTAACGCAACATATCCAGCTACCACCTTTTATCGAATGCCCCTATGATTCATGTAAAACATAATCCAAGGACACAGATCACATTCGGACAGAGAGCGATGGGCTGGTAATGGAATAACAAAGGAGGATGACAAAAAGGATGGATGAAATCTGCACTCTGCCAATTTAGTGAGAGAAGAAAAGTGGGTAAATGTCATAATTTCCCCTCATGACATCGGATCAGCTTAGTCAATCACTGACGCCCAATTTCTTTAAGAACAATGTGTAAAAACAAACAGCAAGTTGAATCCAGTACGAGGCCGATGACTTGTCACTGCCGACCAAATCTGTTGCTCATCGTTGAGTCTACAAACAGAGCTCCTCTAGTGTGTGCAACTTCTACGAAACCTTGATTGTGTCTATGAGAACGCCAACAGGAGTAGCTGCTCTAGACAGCTGAACTGAGAGCATCTTAAGTTTAGGAGCTTGGAAAGGTGGACAGAGAGAGAAAACTGGATATGTATGAGAGCTAGTCCTCTCGTTTGGGGGCGCTACTATACACGGGTGGTGGAGTGAGGGTGGGGTAAGGTGTTGTTGTGGCCGGTGGTTGTAGGATAAGTGTTGAAGGCATGGAGGGGTTGCATGCCAGTAATGGTGCTGGGAATCATGGTGATAGTATTGGGGGTCATGAGCGGAACATCGTCGGGTGCCCGCCGAAGTGCCAATGTGTAGTCGGGTGGGCATGCGGGACGTAAAATATCATGCGGTCGCAACGGCTCCATGTCGTGGTGGGCGTCGTGCTCCGAGTGCTTCATTTGCAGGGACATGATCTCTTCCTCTTGGCTGTGTGCTAAGTCATTAGCAGGTCCGCCTCGCTGCGGGGACAGTCGGTGCCGTCGCATCTCGTGCCGTTTGTCGCGTTTGTAGTAAAGTGCGGCGAAGGCAAGGATGTTGAGGAAGAGGAGCGATGCACCGACAGCTACCGTCACACTCAGTTCTGTAGAGTAGTCCCGGGTGTCGCTTGGGAAGGGAGGGAATCGAGGGGGCTCTGAGCCATCTGGGTCCGATTCTGTAGGGAAGGTTGGGATGGGATGGCGTGTGGTACGAGGTCCCTGACCCTTCCAGTGTGGGGTGCGGGCGGTTCCTGGAGGCAGCCGGGTTGTGGCGGTGCTGAAGACCTCCTCGTGAAGGTTGTGGAGGTGAGGAACCAGTTCCAGCCAGAAGGCAACCTTATTTGCTCGGTAGTTGTCCCGGATGCGAGGCTTCAGGCCAATGTGGAGATACTGCTTGTCTTTGGAGTTGAACTTGGTCCAGATCACTTCCTCAAAGCGGTTGGGCTTGGTGTGGATGAACTTGGTGTCCTGAGGAACTGGCAAGTTGGGATCCCTAGAGAAAACAGATATCTTGTGTCAAAAGGGTATTTGAATGAATTCCACACCGATGTTGTGAGCCACTCAGAACTTTTTAAATTGAGAAGCCTTTTTAAATCAAATTGGAATATAAAACAGGATACAGAACTGCAATTTGAATTCGGGCCAGGTGATAAAAGATTTTGATATTTATTGAAAAAAAAAAACCACAATATAATAAACTTTTGAGAAATTTTCAATATTTAGCCAACATCTAGACAATCTGGAACACTGAATCTCGAGGTCTCAATATCAAGCTGCCAAAATAAAGGTTTGGCTTACGTTGACATTTTTGACAGAAATATATTACTATTCTCTAGTGAAAAATAAATATATTTATTTCATGCTAAGTATACTACAAAAACATTTACATATTTATGTGCTTAATAAAAATACCCTGCTATTGTACTTTTGGTATACTAAACTGGTATACTTAAAGGGGTCCTATTATGCTCTTTTACAAAGTCTTGATTTTGTTTTGGGGGTGTACTAGAACAGGCTCTCATACTAGGTTGTTCAAAAAACACATTATTTTCGGGCGGTTCCTGGAGGCAGCCGGGTTGTGGCGGTGCTGAAGACCTCCTCGTGAAGGTTGTGGAGGTGAGGAACCAGTTCCAGCCAGAAGGCAACCTTATTTGCTCGGTAGTTGTCCCGGATGCGAGGCTTCAGGCCAATGTGGAGATACTGCTTGTCTTTGGAGTTGAACTTGGTCCAGATCACTTCCTCAAAGCGGTTGGGCTTGGTGTGGATGAACTTGGTGTCCTGAGGAACTGGCAAGTTGGGATCCCTAGAGAAAACAGATATCTTGTGTCAAAAGGGTATTTGAATGAATTCCACACCGATGTTGTGAGCCACTCAGAACTTTTTAAATTGAGAAGCCTTTTTAAATCAAATTGGAATATAAAACAGGATACAGAACTGCAATTTGAATTCGGGCCAGGTGATAAAAGATTTTGATATTTATTGAAAAAAAAAAAACACAATATAATAAACTTTTGAGAAATTTTCAATATTTAGCCAACATCTAGACAATCTGGAACACTGACTCTCGAGGTCTCAATATCAAGCTGCCAAAATAAAGGTTTGGCTTACGTTGACATTTTTGACAGAAATATATTACTATTCTCTAGTGAAAAATAAATATATTTATTTCATGCTAAGTATACTACAAAAACATTTACATATTTATGTGCTTAATAAAAATACCCTGCTATTGTACTTTTGGTATACTAAACTGGTAAAGATATACTGAAGTATATTTGATTGTGCTAAAGTGGAACTATTGCAAGTATACTATAGGTGTACACTTTAAATATCTTTGCATTTAAAGACCGTTTCAGGGCTGTAGAGGTCCTCTCTAGGTGCTGATCCACCATCTGGTCTGAATATGTACTGGATCCGGGTGACTGCAGTGACCATCTGATCTGGATACAGACTGGATCTGGTGGGTTGTTTCAGGGTTGGCATCATCTGAGGTCCTCTGAGGGGTTGGCATCATCTCTTCTCAGGTGTTCTGGATCCAGACTGAAGCTTGTGTAAATCCTAGTTACCACGTTATTAGTTACTAGTTACTGTATGTTATTAATCAAAGATCATACAGTCCTCACCAATAGTGACATTAATACACATTTTAGGCTTAATATTAGGAAATGTGCATTGTACACAAGTAGTATAAATAAATGTATTTTAAATCCACTAGTCAACATTTGACGTGGATCAAAAACCTTTCATCAAAGTTGTCCTAAAAGCTAAAACCAAAATGTGTTCTTGTCTTAGGACAAATTCGATGAGCTTTTTTGAGCCACTTCAAATGTTGACTACTGTATATTACTTTTTCACTAGGGTTGTATAGTAAAATGTAAGCTACTTCTCAAAGTAATTTTATTACCTAATTTTAATGAATATCATACAACCAAGATATTTTTTCAACCATGTTTTAATTTATACAGCATACAAATTATGTTGTGCAGCACCTTCTTTTACCCAAAATAAAAATGCAATGTGTTGTTGTAAATGAATTGTTATATTTCTGAATTCATTTTATTATGACACCATTTTTGATGAAAAATGTATAAATCCAGAAAAAATAAAACTCTCGAAATTCTCGAGGTCTAACAAACATGTGGAATTTCCTTCCCTATTAATTATATGAAATGAATATCATGATACACATCTATATTGAATGATACGGGAAAAAAAAGTCATGATGATATCTAATTTGCCATATCGTCCAGACCCAATTTTAATGTCAGGAAATAAAACGATTTTAGAATGAATTTTAATGTAATTTCAAAGAAATGTGTTATGACTATAATTTAGCTATTTAAACAGAAAGAAAGAAAGAAAGAAAGAATATTTTGCATATTCAGACTCACCCGGTCTTGGCAAAGTTGGTCCAGTATGTCATCACCACAGCGCTAAGCATGACATCATTTTTGGAAAAGTTGCAAGGGAAGAGGTCTGTTGCTCCAATCATGGGCACACCAAACACATATGGTATCTCATCCCCGTGTGCAGCGTCTGCCCATTCGGGTCGAGTCTCTGTTTGGCAGTGGTGATAGAAGGTGTAGAAGTAGACGGGAGACTGGTACTCCGCGTGGAGCTTGGCAGTAGCTACGGCTGGCGCTACCCACTGGTGATCAGTGAATAATGCCAGGAGAGTCTTGCGCCGCATTTCCCCATTGTCTCGGTCTGCCCAGTCTGTGTACATGAACTTAATAGTCTCCCTCAGGATGTCTTTACCTACAAAAAGATAGAGAATAATTACAGTAAAGAAAGAACAGACAAGAGCATTTGAGTGTGTATATGAATATGTTTGTCTGATGAACTTGGAGAAAATTCACCCATGAATGCATGTTATTTGTAAAAGAACAATATTTAATAGCTCATATCCATAGGACATTAAATACCAGACATAAAATCTCCATATTACAGGCCACATAAAATAGCATGCTGATGGACATTGCTTGTCTTTTATCGCCCTCTGTTGGAAAATGTTAACAACAGCACCTAATCAAGAGTAAGCAGAATATCCAACAATTTTATTGTTGTACTCAGCATTGTCTCTCATTAAAAGTCAGAATGATGTTTACCCAACCAGACTTGAGTCTTCACTTGGCAAAATAAACATAAGAACTACAAGGACTGCTCTGCATTACACCTGTATTCAGGAGAATTTAATCTAAAGACCCATTTTTTTCACCTTGACAAAACTGTCAAACTCTGGCACAATTTAATAAGAAATATGCTGATATAGATACCTAGATGTTTACTTTCTAATGATAATTGTAAAACAGACAAGAAAAATACAAGTCAAATAAAAAGGGGACTTAAGATCTTACCTTTAGGATATCCATAGAGGTTATCCACAAAGTTGGAGATGGTGTAGTCAAAAGCTGCAGCTGAAATGCCCTCTTCACTCTCAGTGCCCCCATCATCCACAAACTTCAGCCCCTCTCCTTGATTTACACCAATCAGAAGGTCGTAGTTCAAGAACTCCCCCTAGTGGAGAAAGAATTTAACATTCTCTGACAAACTTATTGCAAGTAACCAGTAGAAAGGAAAAAATAAAGATTTCTTCCATATATGGCATTCATCAACTTTTGTTACCTAGAATGATTTTAAAGGGGTCATATGATGCTGCTAAAAAGAACATTATTTTGTGTATTTGGTGTAATGAAATGTGTTTATGCGGTTTACATGCAGTTTACGACATGGCGGCGGCAACAATACTACAGCGAGATTAAAAGTTACGCCTTCTTTCTTTGCGTGAACATTTGGGCAGCGTTATGCAAATCTTCCCACATAGTGAGGTAGATATGTGGGGGCGTGTTAGAACGAGCCGTTTTAGGTAGGCGTGGCTGACTCTTAACTTTTATAAAGAATATCTCTTTGGATTTGAGACTTTAGTCTTTGCAACTTTACAGATCTTCTTTATGCACCAAGAGCTTGTAACACTTCAAAGAGAAAGGAAAACTTGAAATCGCATCATATGACCCCTTTAAGTAACTTAGATCTTAGTTTTAAAGGGTAGATTATAATAGCTTTAAACTTGGTCATGTATATTTAATTAAATATTCCTAATTTAGAAATGTTAAATGAGACAGTATTTCATTATGTTAGGCTTGTCCCCTATACCTAGACTTTATACATTTCTCACTTTAATAAATTATAAAATGTGTTAACATCTGGGCAATTTTACTTTTATTTTATTTTTCATGAGATCTTAAAAAAGACCTTTTCCTGAGATCTGAAAATCCTGAAATTCCACCCATAAACACCCAATTATTTTGGTCTTTGTTACATTTATCATTTTTAATAAATGATAAATAAGAAGTGACAATTTTAAAGATTATGAATATCATTCATTAATAAAAAAAAAAGTATAAATTATTTAAGAATTTACTGACTTTGACCCACTTATATGAGATTGTTGTATAACATGATAGCCTATGATGGCACATCAAAAGTATATGGTGTCACTCATTTTCATGAAACATTTAGTCTGCAGTTACAAAAGTAGATCTGATGAAGCTTTATTCATAAGCCTGTGCTTGAAGCTTCACTAAGATTTGGTTCAAAGGGTAGTTTGGGTGGTTTACTGGAAATAGTTTAAACCTAATATTTGGCTTGGAAAGATAGACTATGCTGAATTTTGAATTAACATAGGTCTTAGAAACCTTCCTCACAAATGAAAGTAATCTCAAGATCACCTGCTGCATCAGGATCTCGGGGTCATCTGGCACAACGTCTCCGTCCATCACAGGTCCAAATGCAATGTGATAGCGGGCCGGCTGAATGTCCTGATCCACCAACTCTCTGAAATTTTTCCTGCGGAGACAATCCACCAGGTCTGTGGTCTCCCCATATGTGCATCCCACTTTACGGGCCAGAATCTTAGTGTACTTCAAGGGCTGGTAGCTAATGGACCAGCTGGAGATGGCTGAACCACTCTGAGCAATGGCTCTCTGAAACAGGCCTGGGATGAGAGGGAACAATAACAAGCTGTTAACTACACAGACGAAAACCTGCATACATCATATACCTGGTTTATACATATAAGGGTCGTTGACGCATAACATCCATGGATTTTTTAAAAAACATTTCTTGTCAACTAACCTTTTAACAGTGATATAATGGTATACTGTAGTACGGTTATTTAAATGTTATGTTGTATATTCAGTATATCCAGGGCTTGTTAATTGGATGTAATTTTTTGATGTCAATCCCAGTAGCTCTTAACAACAGTGTCAGCTGGAATTGCATCAATGAAAAACTGAGAACAGAAGAAAATGAGGATTGGGTTTGGCCCAAACAACATTTTTCAGTGATTATTGAGATAACATCGTACTAATTCCATCTTGCATTGAAATAATAACAGTAAATCTATTATTCTCTTGTAGCCTTTTCACTTACAAACAAAGCCTTTTTCTTACTCTCAAGAGAAGAGTAGAAACATATTACCAAAGGGCTCGTCTTTTCCTTGTTCTGCCCTCCTTCCTTTCTTTCTGTCTTTTTAATTATTGGAGAGCATGTTACCTTTCCCAGAGAAATCAATATGGAGCTACTGTAGCTTTGTCTCTGCTAACACGCCTGTGCTTTTCTCTTTACCTAGCTTGTCCAAACAGGCACACAAACAGACATTTAGTTAAGAGGTGCTCAAAAAATCACTTTGCTATTTTTTTTTCTTTGCTCCACTTCCGTGAACTCTATCCACTTCCTTAACTTTAAAGGGATAGTCCACCCAAAAATGAACATTCATCATTTACTCACCCTGAAGTCATTCCAAATCTGTATAAATTTCGTTGTAAACACAAGAACATATTTAGCAGAATGATAACCAAACAGTTTTGACCCCCTTTGAATTCACTTTATTTTTTGTCTATAAAATTACAATGGAAGTCAGTGAAACTGAAAGTGCTCCGTTACTAACATTCTTCAGATTATTTTCTTTTGTGTTCCATACATGACATGATGAGGGCGAGGAAACAATTACAGAATTTTCATTTTTAGGTGGACTATCCCTTTAACACTTACCTACATACCTTTATTTGTTTATCTCTTCCTGTTTCAGTTGGCTTGGGCTCCTTACAGGGAAATAACATGATTGGTTTCTCCAGGGTAAAAACTGTCATGACTTACCTGGTGTGATTGACAGTTGAGGGCTGTAGGACTGATGTTAGGTGAGGATGACAGTGATGATGAAGATGGTGCGGGTAAAGGTGGACGTTTTTGACGAGCAATGCAACAGAACACAGTTGGACAGGACGGTGAGACATTTTGTGAGGTAACACACACATGCACACAGCATTAATAATGAGATGGAAACCTGTGCAGGGATAGTATTAGTCTGTTAAAGCATTAACACATGGACAAACACATGCATTTGTCTTACCCTCAGAGTGGTGGGACAGGATGAGTAGGTTGACACAAGACGCTCCAGCCCCAGAGCCAAAGATAGTGATTCGTTCAGGATCGCCACCAAAGTGTCCAATATTCTCATTCAGCCAACGCAAGGCCTGGATTTGATCCAACAGGCCATAGTTCCCTTTAGCAGACTGATCTCCTGTGCTAAGAAAACCTAAATAGTAAAGTAGAGGAGAAATAGAAGAAAGGGGGAAAGAAAAAATACAGACAAATTTGTTAATGGAGAGCAGTAATATAATTTTTAGATAAAACTATTACAAATTGCTTTTGGCCATTGAAATACAGCTGATATAAAATAAAATAGAAATATTATGAAATATAAATATTATCAAAAACTTGAAAATGAGAAATTTAAGTACTAAAATTACTAAAACTAAAACAAATAAATGATATAAATAATAAATGAGATTAAAAAACTACAAAAAATGACAAAAGCACATTAAAAATTACTAAAACTTAAACAAAAATGTAAAAATTTTTAATAAATACTATATAGCATATAAAAATACTAAAATAATTGATAGAGAGTAGGGATGTGCATCTTCATAACAGGCCGATGCGATACGCATCTCAATGTATAGCCAACGATACAATACATTAAAGATACATATGAAGCAGCTACCAATGCGATGCAATACGATTCACCCATATTACGATGCAGTGCGATCCGATTTCGATTCGATTCAACACAATGCGATTCAATGCAATACGATGCAATGGAAAAAATATGATGCTATGCAATTCAATATGGTACAAATAGCTTGCTTTTATTTCTTTGGTTCGGACAGACAGCAAATCAGTAGTGCTGTGATATGTCATATTTATGAAGCAGCAATGGTGATGAGAGAACACGCTAGAGAAACAGTTTAGAGAGGAGAAATCAATCTACATATAAAATATTGGTCACAAATAATTTTTAGTATAGTGCATCTACTAATAATTATATATAAATAGTTTTTACCAATGCAAATATGTAAGAAACGATGCATCGCGATACAAATGGCAACTTGTATCTTATGCACACTCGGTGAATCTTACCATCACTAATAGAGAGTGCAATAATGCCATCAGTTTGGCATTGTTTAGCAGCAAATCATCTATAAAACTGAAAAAGAAGAAGAAGGTAGGAAAAATAGTGGACTGAAAAAAAAAATAAACAAAATACATTTGTTTTGGTAGTTGACCACTGATCTTATTTAGTCAAATGTCTGATAACAGCAGGGTAAGAATGAAAGTGAGAACTTTAGATAGCAGAGAGAGAGAGAGAGAGAGAGAGAGAGAGAGAGGGATGGCTGAGACAGGGTGAGTGAGTGGATGCTCTAATTTGGAAAAACTGTTTAATCTGCCTCCAAGTCACCAGGAACTTTACTGATCAAAGTCTGACACACACACACACACACACACACACACAGACAGAGAGACAGACGCATATCTCGCACATGTAGAAATATTCCAATGGAAATAAAATGCCTGTATCAAACTGCCTAATACACGTCAGAGTCCAAAACTAACGGCCTTTCTGCATTTGTGCCTAGTCAGTTAATGACTTAACAGACAACACTTCTGGAAAAGGTGCCTTCTGATGAAACCTACTTCTTGGGCAGTCATTATTCAAATCATTCTAATATACTGGTTTGTTGATCAAAAAACATTTCTTATTGTCATCAATGTTGAAAAAGTTGTGTGTAATATTTATGGGGAAACCATGATACATTTTTTTCTCTTTTTTTTTGTCTTGGATTCAGGATTCTTGGATGAATAAAAAGTTCAAAAGAACAAATTTTTGTTTGCAACAATGTAAAAGTCTTTACTGTTATTTCTCGAGCCACTGAATGTGTCCATGCTAAAATATAATTTCTTTCAAAAATAAAGAAAGCCTCTTAACAAACCCCAAACTTTGTAGTGTTTAAACTAATTTACAGATTTCAACCACCCTGTCAGAAGCTATTCTCAGTCTTATTATAGGCTAGGAAAAACGAAAAAGGGTGATGGCATCTTAGTAGACAGAACGTTATGCAAACATTGAACTCTGATGTGCCTTGATGCCTTCCTACATCCATACACTGCTTGTGAAAGTGCATCTTTCAGCTTTCAGACGGCTGTATTCTCACTTCTCAAAAATACATGAGCACATACACTAAACTCTTCTTACTCTTCTCACCTATGACCTTTCTGCTGGATTTCTGTGAATATCATGACACTACCTGAATTCAGTACTGTGTGACGTACTTCACACGTGTGTGACGTGTGTGAAGTACTGTGTGACAGTCTGAGGTTGCTATGAGAGATAAGAGAGGTCAGATTATGGTTGTGGAAGGACAGTTAACAATGTAGATGTATCTATCATGGAGTTCAGAGCTTGACAGTATGACAGCTGTGACTTGACATGATCCTCATTTGCTATGAATAAAATAACCATGAACAAACACAGAGTCCTCCATCATCCACAAACACATTGCAACCATTAAATACATTCTGCCACAAGCAGAATGAATTTCTCTGCAAATCATTCATAATATGCTAAATGTTTATGTATGATGTACACAGAATTTCATTCTGCTCGTGTTTCATTAAAAAGGTCCTTGGGATGGACGCCTTAGAAACAATTTTGTCTAATTCATTTTGATTCTTATCGAAAGCATAGGAGGCAAATTCACGAAAAGTTGTGCCAGTTTAGCATGCGCATGATCAAATGATGAAGCCGTCATACCATTGCTTGATTTGCATAATTTCTTTAGTGAATTGGGTGCTAAAACAATTCAAAACAGCACAATGAAATAAACGGTGCTAACAGTGGCGCACGATTCATTCTTAGTGAATTGCTCCTAAAGTGAACCATTATTATGACAATTTTTAATCAATTCCAACCCCTCAATACACTATTAGCATGCAGTCCACATCCACACGCAGAATGCAGAGAGAGATATTTGGATTATTCCTCAAAGAGCATCAAAATAGACAAAAACGTCACATCAAAGAGCGTCAGCTACGGAAATGAGATTATCTGCGGCTGTTTAGATTTATTACGTCACCTTTAGTAGATCTCTCACAGCAGTCAATGATTTGCCAGTATAATGCAACCTCTTGCTCAAACACGGCCATTGGCCTCAAAATCTCCTTGTAAACCTTAAAATAACAAAGTTAAATTGTTTTTTGGCCTAAGCTTTGTGAGCAGCCATTAAAACCACCACGGTCATTACTGTGATTTCACCCCCTAACATCTTCTGCTTTAGATTTATCTTCATTATCATTATTTTCTAGGCTCTGTCAGCCACATTATCCTGGTGAAGAGTGTGTGTATGTACGGCTCTGTAAAATTGTCTTTAAAAGAATCCTCAGCAGAAATTTGGACTGGAAAATAAGATCCCACTTTCTGATTAGCTTCTGTGGCTGTGTGTGTGTGTCTGTGTGTATGTGTGCACAATGCCTGTTGAACTGCATGGAAGACCTTAGGTGACATTTTCTATAATGGCTTTAAAGAGATCATTTGCATTTGCAATACAGCACAACCGATTATTTGATATCATCATTATGTTAAATTATACCTATTCTGACATTTTTGATTCATTTTCTAAATTCCTAGATTTGAACAGAAAAAAACTATGTCTGTATAAAGTCTGCAAGTATTTCAACCAATGAATAGGAAACCAACAGACTGAACTGATGGGTCATTATCATCATGTTATCATCAGTTATATACAGTGTTGGGGGTAATATATTACAAGTAACGCAAGTTACGTAATCAGATTACTTTTTTCAAGTAACTAGTAAAGTAACGCATTATTTTTTATTTTAAAATCAAACAAGCAAGCCCTGTCCAGATTTAAAAAGTAATGCAAAGTAACGTAACGCATTACTTTCCATAAAAAGTAACGTAATTAGTTACTTTTTTATGGAGTAACGCAATATTGTAATGCATTACTTTTAAAAGTAACTTTCCCCAACACTGGTTATATATGTCTTAACAAAGTGGATAAAACAGTAAACACACCATTTCTTTTTTTTTTTGCGATTTTTTATGAAGTTTTAAAACACACCATTTCTAAAGATGGAAATCACATTAGTTAATTTTTTCACAATATCACAACTAAGGGAACATGGGGCGAATTCTAAATCATTATACCACTTTGAGCAGATGTTGCTGTGTTTGCCATATCCCCTGGTGCTACAATATTAAACTTCTGACATGTAAAAATAGGCAATATATTAAGAAATATTCCAGGTGTTTCTTAATTTTTCCCTTTTCCGTGATTGTTTCAAACAAAACATGTTTTCTTGGGCATTTTCATTTAGTTAATCATTTTATCACTTAATATCACTTTCCATCCTGTTAGTGTCTTGTAATTTCTCTTTATATAAGCCAGTTGCTTAAAGACATCATCCTCAGGAAGGGACAATATAATTTCAGGTGGTAAAACAACAGCATAAACATGATGTTTTGAGGCATTAGCTGGTTTATTTCATGCTTAAGCAGTTAATTTGTTTTTTTGTTTACAACTACAGATATCAGTAATGACAACATAATTACAAAAGATGTTAAAAATATCAAGTCAACACCATCATGTAAGCTAATTCTCAGTCACTCACCAAACAATGGCTAAAATTAGAACTTTTTTTATCCTGTCAGATTCATTTTGTCCTGCAGTTGTCTTGTAATGGTGTAAAACGGTATAATAAATAAAGAGGCTGAGCTTAACCAGGGCACATTTCTGAAAGTTTGGTATAGCCTTTCATTTAAATTCCTCCTTGAATAACAACACAGGCATATTCAAGTTACAGAGTTTTAAAGGCACTGCATAACAGGATTGACCCAGATACTCTTGTTTTGCCTCCCATACCATGCTGCCCACCTGTGTGGCATCATTTGACTGACTCCACATGTTGCTATAAATGGCAATGTAAAAACAATGCACCTAAAAATATATAGGCCTATATATAGCAAATTTATAAGAGTAAGCTCACGCAGCATTGAATAACTTGAACATCAGGAGTAATGCACTGCTGCTTTTTGAATACATGAATGCTTAGTAACGACATATTCTGCGCTAGTGGGTGTTTATATGTATGTGTGTGTGGTTGCTCAGTTCTCTGGTGTGATTCCCACTGTGCTTGCAGGGACAAGACTGAAAAAGCCACACACACACACACACACAC